CGGTCTGGATGAATGGACTGTAAGGTGGATAGAAAGCTGGCTAGATCGTCGGGCTCAATGGGTAGTGATCAATGGCTCCATGTCTAGTTGGCAGCCGGTTTCAAGTGGAGTGCCCCAAGGGTCGGTCCTGGGGCCGATTTTGTTCAATATCTTCATTAATGATCTGGAGGATGGTGTGGACTGCACTCTCAGCAAGTTTGCAGATGACACTAAACTAGGAGGCGTGGTAGATACACTAGAGGGTAGGGATCGGATACAGAGAGACCTAGACAAATTAGAGGATTGGGCCGAAAAAAACCTGATGAGGTTCACCAGGGACAAGTGCAGAGTCCTGCACTTAGGACAGAAGAATCCCATGCACTGCTACAGACTAGGGACCGAATGGCTAGGTAGCAGTTCTGCAGAAAAGGACCTAGGGGTCACAGTGGACGAGAAGCTGGATATGAGTCAACAGTGTGCCCTTGTTGCCAAGAAGGCTAATGGCATTTTGGGCTGTATAAGTAGGGGCATTGCCAGCAGATCGAGGGATGTGATCGTTCCCCTTTATGTGACATTGGTGAGGCCTCATCTGGAGTACTGTGTCCAGTTTTGGGCCCCACACTACAAGAAGGATGTGGAAAAATTGGAGAGAGTCCAGCGGAGGGCAATAAAAATGATCTGGGGGCTGGAGCACATGACTTATGAGGAGAGGCTGAGGGAACTGGGATTGTTTAGTCTCCGAAGAGAAGAATGAGGGGGGATTTCATAGCTGCTTTCAACTACCTGAAGGGGGGTTCCAAAGAGGATGGAGCTCGGCTGTTCTCAGTGGTAGCAGATGACAGAACAAGGAGCAATGGTCTCAAGTTGCAGTGGGGGCGGTTTAGGTTGGATATTAGGAAAAACTTTTTCTCTAGGAGGGTGGTGAAGCACTGGAATGCGTTACCTAGGGAGGTGGTGGAATCTCCTTCCTTGGAGGTGTTTAAGGTCAGGCTTGACAAAGCCCTGGCTGGGATGATTTAGTTGGGGTTGGTCCTGCTTTGAGCAGGGGATTGGACTAGATACCTCCTGAGGTCCCTTCCAACTCTGATCTTCTATGATTCTATGATACCACTTTCTCAACACAGATATTGAACACTGAGGAAAGAGAGAAATTGATTGAGATCTCCTATGATTACGAACTGAAAAGGAGTTTCAGAAATCTGTCATTGATCAACTTTTGGCTGAGTTTAAGAAACGAGTGCCCCCTGCTGGCAGAAAAAGCTACTACAATTTTGTTACAATTTTCAACAACATACTTATGCGAGAAAGCGTTTTCCTCGTATGCACATCTGAAAACTTAATACAGAAACTGACTTGATGCTGAACCAGACCTGCGACTTTATCTTTCTCCAGTGGCTCCGGACTTCCAAGAGCTATGCAGAGCAAAGCAAGCGCATCCATCACACTGGGGAAATTTAAACTTAAATCCCGGGAAGTATTCATTTTTAGGAGGGGGTTCATGAGATTTCACGAAGTTTGGGAACTACTGGTCTACACTGACACTGCATTGACCTAGCTATGTCGACTAAACTCTTCACCACTCGTGGAGGTGGAGTTACCAAGTCAATGTAGCGGGTGAGTTACGTCAGCGGGAGCAAGACTGTAGTGTAGATACTGACATAGTTAGGTCAACATAAGCTGATTTGTGTCAACCTAACTCTGTAGTGTAGGCCAGGCCCTATAGTCCTTCACCTGGCCAAAGCTTTTGAAAAATTTGTCCCTACGTTCTTCCCTCTGTAGTCTCTAGAAGTAAGAAAAAGACTGGATCAAGAGAGAAAAATTAAAAGAGGATTTTTATAGCAGGGTAGAATTAGTAAAAGTGAAATTGAAAGTAAATGAGAATAAGCAGAAGAAAATGGCCTAAGAAACCTCTCTGAGCTGCTTGTTAAATAACCACAGAGTGAATTAAAGATACTTCAAGAAAACCACTGTCAAGATGTATTGGCTGTAAACTACCAAATACGGGAACTTCACCTGTCCGGGTTTCAATATTTTCTGGTGACTATGTGACTTGAGACACTGAGGGAGAGGGATGGTTCATTCGGTGATAGCCAATGAGACTTCAGGGATCTGCATTTCGTACAGCATTCCTGTGCTCTTATTGGCTGGGACATTCCAGTCAGTATAATCCCAGGCAGACTGAACATCTATATAAAATCCATACGAGCCCCAGCTCTTCAGATCTTCAATCAAACCTGCAGCTGCAAGTGCCTGGTTCTCTGCGGGTAAGTCCTTCTCCAGTGGTGTTATCAAAGTCTTTAGATGAGATAACGGGCGTGAGGAAGCAGCGGTGGCTAGTGACTAGGGCAGGAATGAAAGATCTTGGGTTTCTCTCTGCTTTGACTTTAACTCCCTGTGTGAGTTTGGGCAATTCACGGAATCCCTCTGTGCCTCAGTTTCCCTTTCTGTAAAACAGGGATCATGATACTGACCTTCATTTGTAAAGACTATTTGAGAGATTAAATCTGGTTAGACTGTTTTTTCAAACAAGTTTTTAAAATATCAGAAATGTCGCCTTTTTTGAAAAACGGAATTTTTGATGAAAATGTTTAAATTTTTTCAAAAATTTCTTTTAAAAAAATTAGACAGAAACTTTCCATTAAAAAAGTTGGTTGTTCTGGAAAATGGGTTTGCTCTTTTTTAAAGTTTCCTTTTTTGTTGTTATTTGTACCACCCCCATTGCAACCTAGCATTAACTTTTCAACAGAAATGTGAAATCAGTCTCACTGCAGGCACAGACAGCAGTGTTTGTGTGTTGTTGTTTAAGTTGTTAAAGTGTCACTTAAAATGTCATTACTGATATTGCATCAATAGTAGTTGTGACGGGTCGGGTTGGGTCACAGAAACCCCCTTGGGAACTGCCACCTGATGTGCTGAGACTCCCCGGAGCCTGTTTCCCCTGCCAGCTTGGGACTTCAGTGCCCTGCCTGGTTTGAGACAGACTCTCTAGCCTGCTGCAACCCAGACCCAGGTCTGAACCACGTCCCCTAACAGCTGTAGGCTTGACTGAAAACAGCTTAAGAAGTTCTCCTGTCTCCAACTTTATTTTCATAAGCATGTTTCCATACAGCATTATGGGGCGCAACATCACACCCTCCTCCAGCACTTACTGCCAGAGGCTTGGACACTGTCCATGGCAGAGGCAGGACATATAAAATCCCCTGGTCACTCTCCCTTTCAATACCTTTAAACCATATGATGCCATTCATAGGTGTTCTAGCAAGGTTTGGGGTTCCTGGTCCCCGGGTGACTGAAAGCAGGCTGGGGTGTAGTATTGCTAACAGAATGCAGACAGCAATATCAGTTCAAGTGTAGGTGTCTTAGCATTTAGCCACCAATGCCATGAGGCGGCGTGCCTCAGTTTCCCCTTCTACACAGCAGCGTAGGCCTGTTATGCTTTTGCTGCTGTGCCAAGCTTCCAGCCTGAGTACAGGTATTAGCTGAAAAGTAACATGCTTGTGGCAGGGCCGGTGCAAGGAAGTTTTGTGCCCTAAGCAAAACTTCCACCTTGCGCCCCCCCGCCAGCCCTGCAGCAGCTCCCCGCCCCACTTCTGCCCTGAGGCGCCCACCCCAGACAGCTCCCCCCCCCGCTCTGAGGTGCCCCCCCATGGCAGCTCCCCCCCCCCGCCTGGGGAGCCATGTGGCAGTTCCCCACCCCAGCTCACCTCTGCTCCGCCTCCCCCCCGAGGACGCCGT